GTTGTTTGCAAAATCTCTACCAAGAATAAAGGTTTAAAGACAGTCCCCTTCAATTGATTCTATTTCAGTGAGTGAGTGAGTTTAGTTTTACGCCGCCGTCAGCAATATTCCAGCTATATGGCGGCGGTCTGTAAATAATCGAGTCTGAACCAGACAATCCAGGGATCAACAGCAGGAGCATCGATCTGCGCAATTGGGAACCTATGACACGTGTCAACAAAGTCAGCGAGCCTGACCACCCGATCCCGTTAGTCGCATCTGATTCTATTTCAGCACACAAATGGTAGTGGCTGCGGCCGAAGCTTATATCCGTTTATTACATTCTCTGTCATCTTTTCTCTAATCGTACCTGGTTGGCTTCACCCAAATGATTTTTTGTTCTGTGGCGAAACCTTAACCTCTTGTTAGGTACGGAACATCCATGGATATTTTGTGTGCACTTCAGTTAGATTTTGTTACCCTTTACATCGTCGTTTTAGGGCAATCTTGGTATATTGTATGTGCGCATCTTTCACTTGTGCTTTGAGTTTGTTGGATGCAGGTGCCGTTCCGTGGTTATGGTTAAGACACGGATCGGTTTCCGGTGTACTTGCTGGAATGGGAGTCTGTGTTGTCGCTGTAGCGAAGGACTGACTGAGTTTGGTTTTACGCCGCTTTTAGCAATATTCCAGCAACATCACGGCGGGGGACACCAGAAATGGGCTTCACACATTGTGCCCATGTGGGGATTCGAACCCGAGTCTTCGGCATGACGAGCCAACGCTTTAACCATTAGGCTACCCCACCGCCCCCTGTAGCGAAGGATGCTCTCGGTAATACATAGCCGCCATACAGACTTACGGCTGCCATGCTTGAGGTATCCGGCATATTGAAATATGTATCCACTAACATTTGATGATGGCTTCCCGTGGATATTCCAAACACCCATATAACGATTTAAAGGTCATGTGGAAGTGACTGAATGAATCCCTTTAACATCACATACGTGTTTCGTTTGGGGGAAAGGTCTACATGTAGCCACAGCCGTTTCGGTGTAACTACCTTCACTCAAGCTTAAACTTCATATGTTAACATAGCAACTTTATATTAATGATGGAGCGGTTGGCTAGTATAGTAGATCAAGCGTTGGTGTGTCACGGCGAATCCCTGGGTTCGATTCCTAACAGGTATGCGTTGTGTGAAGACCATTTCGCCGCCATTGCTGGAATATTGCTAAAAGCGGCGGAAAACTAAACTCACTTACTTATATACGTGTGATCGTTGAGCCTTGTAATGGTACAAATCATCTTTGCTGGGAAACATTTTCTGTGTTAGAATGGTCAGTCTGTGGAAGTGACAAATGTCCTTAGAGTATATTTGATTACTATACAGAAATGTTCTTCACGCTCTTTGCTGTAAACGTGACTTCATGTTCACAGATTATGAACAACACAAACCTCAACAAATGACAACAGACCGTAAAGGACTTCGACATCATTTCCCACTTTATTTGTGTAACTTTCTTTCCAGTTCCTGTGACAAATAATGACAATTGCTAGAAGGATGACTGCAGTAGGACCTCGCTTCTTTCAGCTACAATAAACTGGCTTGAACAAAATGGTTGACGAGTTGTACTGTGTTGTATGTACACACAATGAAACATCTCAAACATATTACATGCAAAATGTAGAACCAATCCATGGAAGGTTTATACTGGACACTGTAATAAAGTCGAACAAACATGAATACCATTTAAAAAACTAACGGTAATATAATGAATATGTCATATACTGTTTCAAACGGAAAATGATATGTACAACAATAAAGTATGCTGATCAACGCGTCCTTGCAACACGTATTGGAAGGATGGATGCTGAGAAACATTAACAGCCGCATTGCAATTATGTTAGAACTGATTGGGTTTAATGAATACGTTCATTAAATATGCATACAATCTTGTGATATGAAGAGTTTCTTGTATGTAACACTGGAAACAAACACGACTTGTATGAACAAACCAAGACATTCCCTCAAACAAATGACCATTTTCATAAAATAGTTCTACTCAAGCAAATGACCTATAATTAGTTGTGTTGTAAATACTGCAGTATAAGATGTAAGTGTCAGTATGAGTGTCCATGACGGATTCTTGTATCGCGACATCGCGGAAGGATTTGCAGAAAATGTGACTTACCGCAGTATTGCAGCAAAATCTCAGGATTTGGCTTTTTATTAATAAATACACAATACGTAATTATTTCGATCGACAACTGCCCACGAATTTCCACAAAACGGTCGAATGATGCCATTCAGACTTATAAAATACGGACGCTACAATTTTTTAAGTTCCTGTGTTTTGACTCTTATAGAATATACAAATATATACTCCAGCCGGAGAAATATCTGTCGTTTTTAACATCAAAGAAATTAAGATATCCATTTATACGTTTTAGGTTAGGTTTGATCAACATAATGGTAAAAAAAGGAAGACGTTTTAATATTGAACGATGCAAGAGAATGTGCCCACTGTGTAATATAGATGTGGAAAATGAAATCCAATTTTTACTTGTATGTCCTTTGTATAAAGATTTGCGTACGAAATATATAGCTGAATATTATCTATGTAAGCCACCTACATTAGCATTTAAACTACTTCTTTCATCAACTGACCAGCATGTAATAATAAAGCTGTCGTACTATATCAATTATGCTCTTATTAAACGTAACAATCTGATAAAAGTGTTGTAGGTCCATCATATTTCACTACTTGTACATAATTTACTGCCTGTATCATGATTTGCTGTTTGGATCACTAATTACTACTTATTTCACCATATGTATAATGTATATGTATAACTCCAATGTATATGGGCCGGAGGACTTTTGTACAATAAACATCTTTGACTTTGACTACATAAAGATGGCAAGCTAAACCAACCCTGAAATGACTAAAACAGGATCTATACATTCGCAAAGAAGACATTTTGAGGCGGGAATGGTTATATTTTTACTGCAGGCATGTAGCAACTTTACCTCAGAATCGCCCTCCCTGGTGAAAACAAACCAGATATTGTTTTTCATTGTATTGGAAACCTATATCGAGAAGTTGACTTAATGGACGTAAATTGTCGAGTATGACCCAGACGAACCGTGGTTGAAGAACGAGCAACGTAAACTCTTATCGGGGCACAGAGACGCCTAATCTGTTAATTCACTGACTTGCTCTTACGACAAACATGGATAGCTGGGGATGTTATTTACACCATGGGGCGAGAAGGATGAAATTATGTGTGGCATGAATATGTCTTCCTTCACACGGTGCTCACAAACATTATAAACCAGTCAAATCTGAGATTCGAGCCCACGATATGAGAAACAGGAAATGCAGTGCCCATCAAATTGCACTGCATTATATCACCATGCCGTTTGTATCCTTCCGAGGCGACCTGGCATCCGAACCTACCTCAACCGACCCTGTGAGAACATAGCTGAACCTCCCGTACACCATCACTGTACGATCTGTATTGGATCTCCCATACAACACAACTGTACGATCCGTATTGGGTCTCCCTTACACCACCACTGTACGATCCGTACTGGATCTCCCGTACAACACCACTGTACGATCCGTACTGGGCCTCCCGTACAACACCACTGTACGATCCGTATTGGATCTCCCTTACACCACCACTGTACGATCTGTACTGGGCCTCCCGTACACCACCATTGTACGATCCGTACTGGATCTCCTGTACAACACCACTGTATGATCAGTACTGGGCCTCCCGTACAATACCACTGTACGATCCGTACTGGGCCTCGCGTTCAACACCACTGTACGATCTGTACTGGGCCTCCCGTTACACCACCACTGTACGATCAGTACTGGGCCTCCCGTACAATACCACTGTACGATCCGTACTGGGCCTCGCGTTCAACACCACCGTACCATCTGTACTGGGCCTCCCGTCAGACTACACCTACCAAAGTCAGATCTGAACTTTGTCAGACTACACCCACCAATGTCAGATCCCAACGTTTTTAGACTACACCTACCAATGTCAGATCCCAACGTTGTTAGACTATACCCACCAATGTCAGATCCCAACGTTGTTAGACCATACCCACCAATGTCAGATCCGTACTCGGCCTCCGTACACCACCAATGCAGATCCCAACGTTTTTAGACTACACCTACCAATGTCAGATCCCAACGTTGTTAGACTATACCCACCAATGTCAGATCCCAACGTTGTTAGACCATACCCACCAATGTCAGATCCGTACTCGGCCTCCGTACACCACCAATGTGAGATCCGTAGTTGTCCTCCTATACACTGTGAATGTGAGATCCGTACTGGGCGTACCGTAAACCACCAATATGATATCCGTACTTGGCCTCCCGTACACCACCAATGTGAGATCCGTACTGGGCCTCCCGTACACCACCAATGTGAGATCCGTACTTGGCCTCCCGTACACCACGAATATGAGATCCGTACTTGGCCTCCCGTACACCACCAGTGAGATCCGTACTGGGCGTACCGTACACTACCAATGTGAGATCCGTACTTGGCCTCCCGTACACAACCAGTGAGATCCGTACTGGGCGTACCGTACACCACCAATGTGAGATCCGTACTTGTCCTGTACACCGTGAATGTGAGATCCGTACTTGGCCTCCCGTACACAACCAGTGAGATCCGTACTGGGCGTACCGTACACCACCAATGTGAGATCCGTACTTGTCCTGTACACCGTGAATGTGAGATCCGTACTGGGCGTACCGTACACGACCAATGTGAGATCCGTACTTGTCCTCATGTACACGGTGAATGTGAGATTTTTTCTGGACGTACCGTACGCCACCACTGTGAGATCCGTACTGGGAATATCGTATAACACCCATGTGAGATCCCAACCAAAAATCCACCCACAAATGTAAGATAACAACCTTGTCAGACTCCACCCACCAATATAGGATCCCAACCGAGACTCCACCCACCAATGGGAGATCCCAACTCTGTCAAATTCCACCCACCAATGGGAGATCCCAACGTTGTCAGACTACACCCACCAATGTGAGATCCCAACTTTGTCAAACTCCACCCACCAATGGGAGATCCCAACGTTGTGTCAGACTCCACCCACCAAAGTCAGATCTGAACTTTGTCAGACTACGCCCACCAATGTCAGATCTGAACTTTGTCAGACTACGCCCACCAATGTCAGATCTGAACTTTGTCAGACTACACCCACTAATGTCAGATCCCAACTGAGCCTCCCTTACTTCGCCAATGCGAGATCCCAACGTTGTCAGGCTCCACCCACCAATGTGAGATCTCATCTTTGTCAGACTCCGCCCGTCAATCTGGGACACCAGTATGCAACCACTCTGGCATACCCTACTCTGGCACCCGTACGCCACCTTGATAGCCCGAGGAACATGTTGGAGGTAGTGAAACATATATGTACAGGTAGACTCTTGTGGCAAGACACGATTCCAGCTCGGTCTCGACTCTACACCACACCACGTCAAATATTCGTGTCCCATCCCAACAAACTTCCGTTTCAAAAAGATCTGTAGTTAAAAAATTATTTCATAGATTTGTCAAACTGTGCCATGTGCTACATCTAAATCTGAAGGAGAAGCTAATAAAGACGATCACTGAAAGCAGAAAAATGGAGCCATCATCAAAAGACATCACTGGATGTCATCACAACATCCCTACAACACAACTGCAGCAGCAATAAAATGCATATTTTCCATACAAATGGACATGAAACAGTTTTGTAATTGCTGTCAGTTTGGGCAATATATATATAAAAAGTATGAATATATTTTACAATGAATCAGCCTCCACGGACCACACCAAATAACATTTTCATACAGTAAACGTAAATCTTGCTTTCCACGCGCACATCTCATGTCAGCACCTAATTTGATATCCAGGATCCGTAATTACACCACGAACGAGTAGATGTAATAAACAAATACAGGTGGATACAACTACCAAACTGACGATGGTGACAACCAATATAGAATAAAGGGGTGAGAAATAATTGTAAATACAACATTTTCTTGTAACTTGTAAATGCTGCAATATAGATATCATACATATATGTGCATATTTTTTAGAACATTTAAAAATCAACGGATCATAAATCCCTTTTCTCCACATATACCAATACACAAGATTGAATAAATCTATGAAAATGCAATAAAATATACACATACATCTCAAACTCAGTTACTCGGAAGAAAGTGTAAATCTCTTGATTTACGATATGCCAAACAATTTATACAAGCATGTTGTAGTTATGTTGTGCGGTTTCAAGAATACTTTTCGAAGGGATATTCCATTCTTGACCTGGCCTGTTCTTGCGCTGTTCTATTCCCCACGAGGCGCCGTGTTACAGCAGAACACTGACGTCACACGTCCTTGCAGTGATGGACACAGTGACATTGGTGCGTCTTGTTTACTAACATCTGACGAATCATCGCTGTACCATGACTCACTCGCCATCTAGCTCCAGCTGAAAATCTCCACAGGACCAAACAGGGAGTATTCCGTCCACACTTTACATACTCAGTAGTGAGGTATCCTTCAAGGCATCAACTGACGGAGATCTGGATTCCCGACGGAATTTGTATCCAGACAGGTATCCGGTGCCAAAAACTCAATTCTTAACGGATAGGATATACAGAGGAGTATCAGGATATCAGGATGTATTTTAAGAGCTGTCCAAGGAATCTACCCCACCAGCAGAGCATCAATCCTTTCAACGTAAACAAAACACCAAATGAGGCCAGGTCCAGACCTGAGGTCTGAGGTCTGAGGTCTGAGGTCAGGTGACGACACAAAGTGTCTTCAAGAACAACTTTACATTCGATGTAACGAATGTTTCTCAGAGTATGCACAACTGTTCCTCCTGTGAAGACCTTACAGAAATCTTTCTGGACACTTTCCTATGTAGTGCATAGTTCAGAAAATACAATCCACACAAACAGAAATTCAAGGACCATCAATACGATATCTGTTAAACATAATTTCATCGGAAATCATGGTAACATAAAGGACGACCATATTCTTCACTGTCTAGCACAAACGAGTAGACATCAACACGTATGGAAATGCCTGATCCTTGACCGGAAGTCCAACACAATCCCCGTAATTCCTTCAGAATGGATTTCCAAACGCTGTTGAGTGGGGAGAGGGAAGGAATATTCCTGCAGTCGTACATCCGGTGACAATGATAAATATTGTCATTAGAAGACGATCCAAAACCAGAGCCAACTGTTGCCATTCCAACTTTAGCTGATCACGCCTGTCTTGCTCAGCCAATCGCATTTCGTTTTTCTCTATTGTCTGGTACACCTTTTGTAGAACCCGCATGAACTGTCTTTCCGTGCTGTCACCGCCGGATGTAGCGCCCCCTGTGGGCAACTTCCGGGAGAACCGCGGAGAAAGGCCGCCATTTTTCGGCAGTTTATCTGCATCATACACATCATAGTAATCTGTTGTTGGAACTTGATGCTGAAACATGAGATACATACTTCTAGAAGCATGTTATGGATACCTGCCTTTTGTACACATATTACAGAGTCAATTATACTGACAAGGAAGATTCTAATATGTGAGGCATACTGTATCTTTAATGTTACCAATATGTTTGTTTTGTACACTCTTACTAATCCTCTAACGATAATATTATATCATGGCATACCATCGTATCACATACTTACATATTATGTAGGTATCTTTCTGACCTGTTATATGATGACATATCATTGTTTCACAACCTTAAATATACTGTAGGTATCTTTCTGGCCTATTGTATAATGGCTATCATTGTATCACACTCCTGCATAGGCACAGGTACCGATACTACTACAGTGTAACACCCTGGCATAAACTACCGTTACCATTATCGAAACAGTAATATGGACATCGTGTACCAGTATTACTATAGTAACGATTTCAGACGTTCTCACTGTAGGTTACACTACACTACATCAGAATCACATGCTCCCTGAGCGACAACTGAAGAGACAGAGACATGTGACAGCTGTGATTGGATGAAATAGTGTGAGATGTTTATGCTATTTAAAAGCACATCCATCTAGTCATTAAAACTGACCTCAAGTTTAAGTATTTAGTGCAGTCAGTTTTATCACCATGACTTATGCTTATTGTGTGTACAGATATTTTCCAGTAGGTGACATTTGGTGCGGAACTGGGGTTGATGTGTTCCGCTTCCTGTGCTGGGAAAATGAGCCGGACAATTTTGCCAGAAATTTTGTTTTATTGTAGTTGAAAGGCCTGACTGTACCCATGTGTACCTGGAATGGCTGTTGATAGCCTGGATAATTTTAAAAAAATAAAAGGTTACTGTAGAAGTCTATGGGAAAACATTTGGTGTTGTGTAAACTGTTCCTCTCGTGTGGTACTATTTCGAGTTATTTCCCTTAGATCAGATGTTGATGGTGGGTCACAAACCCTCACCTTCTGACTTTTGAACGATGACTTATGCGATACAACTGGGATGCAACAGATACTCCAGGAAATATATTGTGCAAGTGTTGATATTGGTAATACGACAATATTGATTCTATTCTAGACGGGGTAACACCTGGATCTTACAGTAGATAACAATGGTCAGGTTTTCCAAGATTCTCCGACAGCTTAAACTTACCATCCCAATAGGGGCACTGTGTGACTCCGCTAGGTCTATCTTAATAAACATCATTTTGGCGAGATAATTAAAAAATATGATCTTGACAACCCGTGGAATCTCCTGGCCCCGTGCTCCTTTATGGTGGATGTTGAGCGTTAACACCGTCATGCCGGTAGCGAACGACACTATCGCTATAGTAATCCCATAGTACAGACCTGCAACAAAAACAGCATTCACTGAAACGAACGAGTATTGTAGAATATAGCTTTCAAACTGGAAAAATAGCCAATGAGTGTAGTTTTACGCCGTTTGTTGAACGGTCGTGACTAAGGGGATCTAATGTAAACTTCATACCTTGTACACTATTGTATACCTTACATTCAACATGATGAGCAAACAGTTTAGCCACATGAATGAGTGCAGTTTTACGCCGTTTGTTGTACTATCGGTTGACATCAGAAGGGGCTGTACATATTGTACACCATGCCGAGGATCGAAACAGGGCATTCAAAACGGGCAAACGAAAACACTAGAGTGACATGGCTACACCAACATACCTAAATGAAAGAACATGGGCTTACAGGGTAGAAAATATAGGAAACAGATTTACAATTCGCAAAAGGAGAGAGGTTTACACGAACTCGTTCACCCATGGAAAACCAAATAACATAGTTTAATGAAACTGAACGTACCGACGGAAGTCACAACGTTTAAGTGAAAAAAACTCCTTCATGATAATACTGGTAGGTTGTGCCAACTTGTGCCTTAGGCAATGATGAAAGAGTATAGTTTTATGCCGCTCTTGGTTTCCAGCACACGTTACGGGGATACGCGACATCTTCATATTGTACCTGGGGCAGTGGGGTAGCCCAGTGGTTAAAGCGTTAGCTCGTCACGCCGAAGACCCGGGTTCGAATCCCCACATGGGTACAATGTTCGAAGCCCATTTCTGGTGTCCCCCGCCGTGATGTTGCTGGAATATTGCTAAAAGCGGCGTAAAACCAAACTCAGTCAGTCAGTCAGTCATATTGTACCTATATGAGGACTTGTTTATTCTGTCAGTACACGTTGAACAAGTTTCCCTTTGCCCCAAGGTCATTGTTTACATTTACTCCATTCTTATTTTCAAGTTCAATAGATATTTATAACAAGTACTAGAAAAATAACAATGCGTTATTGAAGGTACATCCTGTCGATCTCTTGATCTTAACGAAATGATAGTTTTTGTGCGCCAGGCAATGCGGTCCATCATGTAGAATCGTATGAAAATTAAGTAAAACCACGAGGCTGCCCATAAATAATCGTTGTAAGTGAAACTGGTGCACGACCTTTCTGTACCCACATTGTGAGACATGCAGGGCTAAGTAAATGGAACCACCATAAACAAACCGGATAAATAATCAAATAAATGCTCGATTTCCATAGCCTTCAGACCCTACAGGGAAAAGTCTGCTACCACCGTTTCAACACATGGCTTCGTCTTAAAGACATATTGAGTATTTTACCGCAACTAACACAGAAAATGGGTTATACATACCAATTAAAGGTAATAAATCCGATGTCGGGGGCATCTGTTCGGCTACAATCATCAAAAACACTGTCATTGATAGCAGCGTGGTTATTCCCATTGAAATTTTCTCCCCAGAGTCGTTCGGCATATAGAATCCCAGCAGAGCAACCATCGTGATGAGGAGGCAAGGCATCACCATGTTGAACAAGTAAAACAGCGGCCTCCGTTTGATGAGGACAAAATATTTCATGAAGATGTACGGCTCCGGACAACAGGAAAACAACACAGGGTCACGGGTCTGGACATATTTGACCAGGTGCCACTCCGTGCTGGGGATGTAGTTCGACGTGTCTCCCTCCTCGCCGACGTTCATGATGTTCAGAGACGTCGCGTCGTACGTCCACGACGAGAACTCCATACTGCAGTTTTGTTCGTCGAAGGGGAAGTGTTTGACGTCGATGGAGCAGGAGCTTTTGTAGATGACCATTGACAGATACGTCACGTTGCCGTCTGACGTCACGATGACATTGGTGCTGACGCTTGACATTTCCTTACTTGTCACTTCCGCCCTGGACCGGAAATAAGCATAAATCAATAGTGATCTTGCGTTTCAATTCGGTGACAGAGAATAGGTGTTAAATATATCTGACATGCATGTATTGTACATCACGATGGAAACCTTCATGCAATATGGTAATGGGGGATCCAAAAGAGAGCCATACTAATGCCTCTCTCTACCGCTGATACTGACAAAAGACTATTGTCTGTGTGCTGTGGGCAACGGGTAGTGTCAGCTGACCTTTACGCACGTGCAGTCGTGTTGTGTGTGCGAACATAAATATGGTGAAAATTCATCTTTTCTGGTAATTCATACTTTCATTAACTTTTCATCATCTGGTACTTTCGGTAGGTCTTTTGACAAAACATTTCATTTCCCTTCTCAAAATTCTGAAGCAATAGAAGTATAAGGTGGAGTGCATTTGAAATGCATGTGTACTAAAACACGTCGGAAACAAGGCAAATATAACTTCCGATCAAAGGTTTAGACTCACTTGAAGCACTCACTATATGTTATGTATATAGGTATGGTTACATCGATGATGAATTTCTCCCCTAACTTGGGGAACCAACTGCAAACCTTATGCAGATAAATTGCACGAGGATCATGCATCAAATTGCTGAAAAGCATGTGCAAATATCGTGCAAGTGAACAGCTGCATTTTGGTGTAAAGTTTGCTAAGAATTCACCAATTTTCACTCAGTTTCATCATTTATTGAACTCATGACAACACTCTTTTCAACATTACAAATTTGTTTTACAATACTTCAGTGCATGTGTAAACAGTACCTTTAAACAGTATGGACTATTTTGCAAAATCTAGTTTAGAACAGTTGACTGAAGTAAATGGCTGCATTTACACTAGTGAGCCTAAACTTTTGATGGTTAGTATGCTTACGTAGAAGCCTGACAAAACGGGGTTGTATGTGTGAGAAATATATATGGTTTGATTTGTATGTATTCAAGCACAAATAACGTACTGACAAACGAATCTACTGTCTTATGACAAGCAAATTCTGATACCCACAACCAGGATCTGCACATCAAACCTTCAGCCCTGGTTCTTTGTTTGTTACCAAACCAAAGCTTGATTCGTCCTAATGAAACGTGATAAATAAATAAACCAACTCCAAACATCGTTTGGTTTCATAACACGAGCCTCAATGACTATGTCTCTGTAAGGAGTTGACATACTTACGTATTGTACAGTACTATATCCGGCAGCCATATTGAATCATATGGAATTCTTATTACGCTGATGTTTCCATATTTCTCTGGTACCCAGGCCAACTTTTTGTCAATCCAACCCTAGGACAGGAAAAAACAGAATTGAGAATAATAATAATAATAACAATCACAATTGAGAAACTGTTCATGCATGTGACGTATAATTAGTGCAACACTCTTTGATAGTCCGTCATACACTATCTGATGACATCTTCTTATAAAATTTCCACACTGTACAGTTCTACTATTTTGCCAAAGAAGAGTTTTTTTATGTAGGAACACTTCATAACTGCAGTTTTCACTATTTCACTGAGACAGGTGAGCCCGTCTGTATCAGGTAGACAGACATGATTCACACAATGGTAGAGTGTGATGGGCTTAACGCCAGTTTAGATAGTATTCTAGTCATATAACGGCGTGTCAACTTGATGTTGTATGGAAATTGGAAGGTATTCCCAGACGTTCATGACCACCTGATAAACCTAGAATAGTTATCGCAGAGCACATGTTTGTGTATCCAAGGGACGTAACTCTTCATGGCGAATTCAGGCGCCTAAGACGAAAGAGCCACCGGTGCCCAAGACGAAACTGCCACATCATAACGCGTTAGAGCATGTATTAGTAAGTAAGTGAATTTAGTTTCACGCCGCTTATAGCAATATTCCAGCAATATCACGGCGGGGGATACCAGAAATTAGCTTCACACATTGTACCCATGTGGGGAATCGAACCCGGGTCTTCGGCGTGACGATCGAACGCTTTAACCACTGGGCTACCCTACCACCCACATGTATTCATTAGTAATTATAGGAATTGATTAAATTCATCCAGTGTGACCCCATCGTTCGCTTCACCAACGCACCTGATTTATCCAGCAATTTGTTGTCATAATTTGATTCTTTTCATCCTGTAAAATACAAAAAAGATTTAATTTGTCAAACATGTAACAAATGAGGTTATTAATCGATAAACGACATTTGGTTTTCAAACTCGTATAATTTCCACAAGACAACAAAGCGAACACATGGAATTAAATGACCAATGCAACAATTAACGTACCGTAAACGCTGTAAAAAAAGGCTGCACTTACAACATTGATCACCGGTAGGATCAAAAAGCTAAATGCTAGTTTGCCCTAACGACCCAGGATTTACCAGTGTGTAAAGGAAGACCGCTCAAGGAAATGACACAGTCGAACAGACAGACAGATTGTCCACGCATTAGCTCCGAGAAGAAAACCCCTCATACTTAGATTAGATTATTTCTGACTTTGAAAAAGCGTTTGATTCGGTAGATAGGAAATTTATGATAAACGTATTAAGATTCTTCAACTTTGGAGAGAGTATTCAAAAGTGAATTTCCACTTTTTTTACAGATATTGAATCAAGTGTGTTAGTCAATGGTTTTGCAAGCACCTTTTCCCCAGTTACAAGGGGTTGTCGCCAGGGAGATCCGATATCACCATATATTTTCATATTGTGTGTTGAAATATTGGCTATACTGATAAGAAATGAAAAAATATTAAAGGTATTAGAATGAGCAATATAGAACATAGTTTAGAACAATTTGCAGATGATACTACTTTGTCTTTGGATGGGTCGGAGAAAAGTCTGTATGGTGTATGAATATTCTTCAGTGTTTTGAAAGATTTTCTGGACTTAAGATTAATGTTGAGAAGACTAAATTCATTTGGATTGTGTCAAAGAAGAGATCTAAGTATAAGCTTTGTAGAGAGTGGAATTTGGATTAGAGTCAGACATATTTTAAATTACTGGGGATTAATTTCAGTGTAGATTTACAAGAAATGGTAAACTTAAACTATAAAGAGAAATTTACAAATATTGAAAAAGAAATGAAACAATGGTCAATTAGACATTTAACACCTATGGGTAGAAATACTATTTTGAAAACTTTACTACTACCTAAAATGAATCACTTGTTTGCCTCTTTACCTAACCCTCCAGACGAACAGCTAAATAGTTTTCAGAAGAAATGTTTTAACTTCATATGGTGAGGTAAGATATATAGGGTCAAGAGAAGTGTAATGACACAACCACCTAAATACGGAGGAATTAAGGTACCTGATGTAAAATCAACTATATTATCACAAAACTATCATGGATAAAACAACTGGATAGTAAGTCATATTGGGGCAAACATGCTGGAATTATTATCCCAGGAATACCCTATGGTTGGCGGATTACTTGTATATGAACACTACTGTAGTGCCATACATTACAAATATTTTTTGGAGGGATGTTGTATCAGCATGGGGTTTGTATCTATCCAAATGCTATGATAAGATTACAAATATTTCCGACAAAAAGACTCAATCATTATGGTACAACTCTACTATCTCTATTTGTGGCAAATGGGTTGAATATAGGCACTGGATAGGAAAGGGGATACGTTTTATTAAGGATATGTTTAATGAAAAGGGTGAAATTTATTCCTTTAACAAACTTGGAGAAACATATAATTTAGAAACAAATTTTATCCAATATCAAGGGCTCAAGTCAACAGTAGCGAGATACATTAAAAGAAGTTTGATTAATGATTACAAAGAAAGGATATATGATCCTACTCTCCTATTTAATGTATACAGCATAATTAATACACAAAAGGGTAGTAAAATGTTTTATCAGATTTTATTTGCTCCAGATTTCAGTACAGATGCACAAGAAAAATGTCAAAAGTGTTTGAATAGAATTATTGATAGATCAGAACAAGAAAATATTAATCTGATGTCTTATAGATGTACTGAGAGTGTGAATATGAGATGGTTCCAATTTAAAATAGTGAATAATATTTTAGCAACAAATAGCTTCTTGTACGAGATAGGAATATCTGAATCACACTTATGTACATTCTGTGGACAAGATTCAGAAACCATGGTACATCTGCTGTTCGAATGCTTTTATGTGAGAAAGATATGGAAGGAAGTAGAAAAATGGCTTAAAACTGTTTCAGAGAGTGAAATTAATTTTTCTCTAGAGAATATTATATTTGGATTTAAAGGCAAACACAATAATTCATTGAATGCTGTAATTTTGGTGTTTAAAGAAGCTATTTATAGAAAAAGCAGAAAAAGCAAACTCTGAATATTAGATATATTAAAGCAGAAGTCAACAAATATTATGAACCAACAAAATTGATAGCTTTTTCTAATTGTAATTATGCCAAATTCTTTAGCTTCTGGTCCGCCTTCAATACATTATTTGCCAATAATTAAACTTTTATCAACAGATTTGTATAACATGTAACACTTCATATACATGCTTATTTTGACCATTTTACATATACTCATGCCAATAATGGTTGTCATCCCCTTCACTTTTTTAATTGGAGAGGGGTGTGGGGCGGGTGTGAGGTGTGTGTGGGGTGGGGGTGGGGGGAGGGGGTCACAACCATTATTGGCATGAATATATTTGTGAACAGCATGATATTCGACAATGCGATCAAGGAAACACTGTACTTGTGTACTAGGAGGCTACCTGTACTGTACTGTACTACTGAGTTAAAGTCTGTAAACATGTAATACTTCATATACATGCTTAGTTTGACCATTTTGCATATTTGGGAATAGCATGATATTTGACAATGTGATCGAGGAAACACTGTACTTGTGTACTATGAGGCTACCTGTACTGTACTGTACTACTGAGGTAAAGTCTGCAAACATGTAATACTCCATATACATGCTTAGTTTGACCATTTTGCATATTTGGGAATAGCATTATATTTGACAATATGATCAAGGAAACACTGTACTTGTGTACTAGGAGGCTACCTGTACTGTACTGTACTACTGAGGTAAAATCTGTAAACATGTAACACTTCATATACATGCTTAGTTTGACCATTTTACATATTTGGGAATAGCATGATATTTGACAATGTGATCAAGGAAACACTGTACTTGTGTACTAGGAGGCTACCTGTACTGTACTGTACTACTGAGGTAAAGTCTGCAAACATGTAATACTCCATATACATGCTTAGTTTGACCATTTTGCATATTTGGGAATAGCATGATATTTGACAATATGATCAAGGAAACACTGTACTTGTGTACTAGGAGGCTACCTGTACTGTACTGTACTACTGAGGTAAAATCTGTAAACATGTAACACTTCATATACATGCTTAGTTTGACCATTTTACATATTTGGGAATAGCATGATATTTGACAATGTGATCGAGGAAACACTGTACTTGTGTACTATGAGGCTACCTGTACTGTACTGTACTACTGAGGTAAAGTCTGCAAACATGTAATACTCCATATACATGCTTAGTTTGACCATTTTGCATATTTGGGAATAGCATGATATTTGACAATATGATCAAGGAAACACTGTACTTGTGTACTATGAGGCTACCTGTACTGTACTGTACTACTGAGGTAAAGTCTGTAAACATGTAATACTTCACGTACATGCTTAGTTTGACCATTTTGCATATTTGTGAACAGCATGATGTTAGAGTGAGCGACAAAGGAAACACTGTACTTGTGTACAATGAAGCTATCTGTACTGTACTGTGTCCTACTGAGGTATAATCTGTAAACATGTAACACTTCATATACAGGCTTAGTTTTGACCGTTTTACATATTTGTGAACAACATGATATTTGACAATGTGATCAAGGAAACACTGTACTTGTGTACTATGAAGCTACCTGTACTGTACTGTACTACTGAGGTAAAGTCTGTAAACATAACTCTGGGAATAAAAACATGGAAAAAAAAAAGAAAAAAAAAAAGATTATTTCTGATAATATTCCGAAAAAAAATGAAAATGTAACGTTGAAGTTGGGAGGACTAAAGACATCGCTAAACATCATCGGTTTTCCGGGGTTTTTTTAGATTCGAGTTGACGCATGGTTCACCTTGCACCTCTGACTGCCACCCCTTCATCGCAGTTAGAAACTTATAATGCGTGTCATATATTAACAGAAGTACTCTGCTAAGTCTCAATGTCTCAGATCGTATCATTTATAGTCGAAATAGTTAGTAAATAAATGATTTGCCTTGCATGTGTTTATGACCTGTGCCACCGTGAATACTATACGCCCACCTTTCATTATTGTCATTATTGTCGGAATCCTACAGCGAAATCTGGACTTGGAAGATGTTTCTAATGAATATGAAAATAATGTTGTTACATTTTAAACTCATTTTCAGTTTGGCTGAAAGACAAACATGGTGGGCAGTATGTTGTCGATGTCGTTCTGCCCGGCGTTGTTGCAGTGCATGTCATGGTTTCACTAATCACCAAACCGGGCATTACATTTAGTTTTCTAAACCTGATTAATCAAAATCATCAAAAGACCGAAAGATAAAAGGTCTAAAATCGGTTAAATGAACGACAAAACGATGTCGTTTTATTGAGTGCCTGATAACAGGCGTCATTATCCAGCGCTCGCTCCACATCAACGCACAATTCTTTCCGTGATCCCAACGCCACGAGGTCAAGTCAAGTTCATTGCTACACAATGGCTTGTCGTAACCTGATATAAATAGATTCGTCGTGAATGTATCTTCCTTCATTAAAACCAGCAACGACATCGCCCTACACGCGACTTCGTCTACGATGACTAGGGTATGAGTCAACCGGAACATTCATTTCCATTCGGCGTGACTTGGTAGATTTAGTCGGATTATTTCAGGATTGAAATGACTGCTTCCCAGAACACCCGTGTCTCCAAGCTAAACGGGAAGAATAGGCAACCGTCTGTTTTAATCAACACCACATCGCCCAAATGTACCTAGCTGATCGCAACAGAATGAACACATTTGGTTGTGGGATTCAATTACAGGGCTTTCTGTCTTTTAATATCGGTTTGGCTTCAACTGGGGCGCCAAGAAAAGCCTCTGATCACAGATTCCCACAAAACTGGCTTAACCGTGTGGTTCCAAGCTGTGATCTTACGTTAAACACTGTATCAGTTTAAAATGTAAACGTAACCTGTTCTATAAAACGTTGATAAAAATCAGAAAGGTAAAGAATGTTTCTTAATGTGTAATTATATTATCAAATGGTGATGATTTTTAACATGAAAAGGTGTACGCATTTGTAGCAGATTTTCCATTCCGTTAAGTGGACTTGTGTGAAACCATTTGGTTGGGGATGACCGAAGTATTTAGGATGAAGTTATGACTACGGATTCGGTCTGTTTACGTAGATAGATAGATAGATAGTAGTAGTAATCGTAGTAGTAGTAGTAGCAGAAGAAGTAGTTTAAGAGGAAGAGGTAGTAGTAGTAGTAGAAGTAGTAGTTATAAAAGTAGTAGTAGTAGTAATATTGGTGGTGGAAGTATTAGTAGAAGTAGAGAAGGTAGTAGTAGTAGAAGTAGTAGTCGTAATAGTAGTAGTAGTAATCGTAGTGGTGAAGGTGGTAGTAGAAGTAGAGGAGGAGGTAGTAGTAGCAATAGTAGTAGTTGTAGTAGTAGTAGTGGTAGTAGTAGTAGTGGTGGTGGTGGTGGTAGTAGTAGTAGTGGTAGTAGTAGTAGTAGTAGTAGTAGTAGTAGTAGTAGTAGTAGTAGTAGCAGTAGTAGTAGTGGTGGTGGTAGTGGTAGTGGTAGTAGTAGTAGTGGTGGTGGTAGTAGTGGTGGTGGTGGTAGTGGTAGTGGTAGTGGTAGTAGTAGTAGTAGTAGTAGTGGTGGTAGTAGTAGTAGTAGTAGTAGTGGTGGTAGTAGTAGTAGTAGTAGTAGTGGTAGATGCGGTGTTGGTGGTAGTGTAGGTGGTGTTGGTGGTAGTAGTGAGTGAGTGTAGTTTTACGCCGCACTCAGCAATATTCCAGCTACATGGCGGCGGTCTGTATATAATCGAGTCTGGACCAGACAATCCAGGGATCAACAGCATGAACATCGATCTACGCAATGGGGATACGCTGACAAGTGTCTACCCAGTCAGCGAGCCTGACCACCCGATCCCGTTATTCGCCTCTTACGACAAGCATGGGTTACTGAAGATCAATTCTAACCTGGACCTTCACGGGTCTGGTAGTAGTAGTAGTAGTAGTAGTAGTAGCAGCAGCAGCAGCAGCAGCAGCAGTAGTAGTAGTAGTAGTAGAAAACATTATCGGAGAATATTCTGATCTTATCTTGTAGCCTGGTTACAACGTGTGACCTTGATAACAGTATGACGCCACCCTACAATAGTCTGAATGAGCGCTCCTATTCTCCACACACGGTTCTTTATAAAACACGTGATCACACATGCATGAATCACAAGTACAGTCGTTATCAGGAACATACGGACGACAAAGGTCAGACTAACTGTATATGTACAAGCCTTGTTGCTTTCCAAAGCGAATGATGAGAGCTTGTCTAACTATTCGTCTGCAGTCAGAAGAGACCCTGCCAACTAGATTGCACCATGTGATTACCTCGACCTTACCATTGCGCTCTTATTTACAGTGGACGGAGGTCGGTTGTCCACGAGAGACTGACAGATCGTGTCCTTGCAAATGCCAGATATTATCACGACACATGGGGCCTGTCCGTATCAGTTCTGTGAGGTTGAATGGCCAAATTACACTATTAATCCGGGAATATCTTACACACGACGTTTTGCAGATATTTGTTATTCAGATGCATTGGCTGCAGACACATACCGGAAAAGATAATATTTGCTGAAGTTTAATGGTGGCTTAAATAGTATTCCATAGTAATGTATTTGGTACGGATATCATGTACAAAACGTCAGTACAATCGGACACCCAGTCTTGAATATGCTATACATGTAGCTGTCCTTTGCACCTGAAGTCATAGGTGTTTCGGTGACCACTTTCACCCAGGTAACGTTTCGATAATATAGCAACTGTTTGACCAAATCCCATTTTACGGGCACGATTTCTTTCCCCCTTCGTTGAGTGTAGTTTGTATCAACCATAGCATGGTCATGGTCTAAAAAATAATCTATGGCTGAGATTTGTCTATAAACATTTTGAAACTTACTATGTCAATAATCTGGGCCAGGGCCACGCCCATTGTGACGTTCAAAGCACCCGAGCCGTTGACGAAGGGTTTAATCCTCTTGTCGTAGGTCTTCAGAATGTCTCGGACTAGTCGGTATTCCTGCTCACTGCAAGCCACCAGTGCTGGAAAAACACAAGTTGAATTATAAATACTTGAAAAGAAATGAATTTCGGAAATCGGGAATTCTACGTCACATTTGACATTAGTATGGCGTGTCTATGAAATATCCATCATAAAGTCTAATTGAAACCGATATCTAACTGTTGTACTTGTGGTTGACAACGACGTTCTGGTCAATACTAAACCAGCGGTCTGTGTAGTGTTGTTTCCTAAAGAGTTTTATCTATCGTTATTCCCCTGAGTAGATGCTGGACGTCGTGTTGGTTGCTTCGTAACAGTGTTAGAAGTAGCTTGTAGGAAATTTGCAGTAAACTACTAAATAGAACGTAGTCAAGTACTTGTGAATGAGTTTGGTTTAACCCTGCTATATTGTCAAGAACAGAGATAATAGGGTGGAACTGGAGTATTTGTTCTTCATAAATACCCAAGGTTGATCGATCCATCGGTTTATGAAGTCCTGTGGTATAGTTTGATAGCACACATGTGGCAATCTCTTCTGGCACTGGAGTTGAATAATTCGATATATCCGTAATGTAATACAAATGATATAATAATAGGCAGAAACAGTCGATGAGACGTTTGTCATCCTGTTCGCAATTTAACTTATTCAGATCCCGCTGCTGCTATGCACGGATCTGAAGATCACATTTCTTTGGTCGGTCCAAGGGCACGAAAGGCTGTTCTGGCGTGGCTTCAAATGGGACGTTCCTTATTGGTTCTACTACACTAAATCAGTATCACATGCTCCCTGCGCGAGACCCGTATGTAAACAAGTGAAGAGAGACAGAGACATGTGACAGCTGTGATTGGATGAAATAGTGTAAGATGTTTGTTTTTTAAAAGCACAGTAATTAAAACTGACCACAATTTTAAGTATTTAGTGCTGTCATTTTTATCACCATGACTTATGCTTATTGTGTGTACAGATATTTTCCAGTAGGTGACATTTGGTGCGGAACTGGGGTTGGTGTGTTCCGCTTCCTGTGCTCGCAAAACGAGCCGGACATGTTGGCCTGATATTTTGTTTTATGGTAGTTTAAAGGCCAGAGTGTACCCATATGTACATGGAATGGCTGTTGATAGCCTGGATATTTTTAAAAAATATAAGGTTACTATAGAAGTCTATGGGAAAACATTTGGTGTTGTGTAACCTATATCCGTGAGCAGCGGTGATGAGACCTTAGATCGTATTTACATCAGATGTTTACCTTTGCCACATTGCATTTGTTAAAGTTGATTATTGGTAGTGTTGGTACACTTTTCATACATAGATTGAAGATACATGTTCGGGTGAAATAACGGCGTTTATTATTATTATAGGATATTTATATAACGCACATATCCAAGCAACTAGTGCTTGCTTAAGGCGCTGGTATTTATTCCCTCGATCACAAGATCTCAATCTCAACGGCACATCATATTATCAATCTCAACTCCCTGGGGAGTATACAACTCTTGCAGCCACTAGGCGCACCGAGTTATTGTGGCTTTCTCATCCTAACGAGGTACCCATTCACAGCTGGATGGACTGGGACACATAGTCACAGTACTTTGTCCAAGTTTACTGCACGTTGCTGTACCTGCAACTACACTGGCCCAAAACAGAAACGCATAGGTGAAAATCCAGTGTTATCAGTGATGTTTTAATAACTTAAATTACACAAAAAGTAATGATAATAGAGCAATAAAAATTCACACAGGTATTGGGACATGTGTATCAAAAAACATACAGTCATTCACAGTGGTATTGAGAGTCTTTGTTTTTGATGGCACGGTCACAAAGTCAGTATCTGGTGTGACCGACACGAGCCTCAATCACTGCTCTGCATCGCCTGGGCATAGACTGTATAAGACGTCGGATCCGCCGTTGTTGGATTCTTCTCCACTCATCCTGCAACGCATCGACAAGCTGTTGACGTGTCTGTGGTTGCGGCTGTCGGCGTCGTACACGTTGATCCAATTGGTCCCACAAATGTTCAATTTGGCCATGGAAGAACTGTAATGTTGTTGATGGCAAGAAAATCTGTTGTAATGCGTGCTGTATGCGGTCTTGCGTTGTCATGCTGGAAAATTTCTCTTCTAGCGTCAATTACGGGAATAACATGACGTACCAGGATTTCATCACGATAGCGCACAGCATTCAAATTCCCTTGGACATGCACCAGCTCTGTTCTGTCATTCACAGATATGCCTGCCCACATCATTACACCTTCGCCGCCGTGTCTGTCGACCTCACGAACACACTGTCGAGCATATCTTTCATTTCGACGTCTGTAAATCCGCATCCTGCCATCATGTCGATACAGCATAAACCGCGACTCGTCGCTGAACCAGATCCTCCTCCAGTTCAAGAGGGTCCATGGCCGAACGTTCCTGCTCCATTGAAGACGTGCACGACGATGGTGGTGTCGCAGAACAGGTCCTGTATGTGGTCGCATCGGTCGGATTCCATGCTCTCTTAGGCGATTCCTGATGGTTTGTGCAGAGACTCGACGCAGCCCAGGAACATTGTCGGCGGTGTACGCTGCAGTGACGGTCCGATTTCGCAGATGAAACACCCGGATGAAGCGGTCTTGCGCTGGAGTTGTCACCCTTGGTCTCCCACTCCTAGGACGATCTCTGGCCGAGTTGTGCTGCGTGTAGCGCTGCCAGAGACGGGAAATCGTACTCTGCCTCACGTTTAGATGTCTGGCAACTGATGACTGGCTTTCTCCAGCTTCCAAGTGTCCAATGGCTCTGTTTCTGCTTTCTTCGTTTAGTCGTGGCATCTTGAGGGTCGCATATACAGAATTTCGGAGAATGAATCGCAACAGGACTTCTGGCTTTTTTATACCCATCAGTATCAAGATTCAGATCCTGTATTTGCACGTGCATCATGCTTTCAGATTTTTCTACATGCAGATTATACGGGGATTTTTTTCAAGGTGCTGTGTTTTGGCGAATAATCACCAAAGGTTGTGTTTGCGTGTGTTGGATAACTGTATGGGCTATATTCACACTTAATATTAACATTGACAGTCATTCCATGCCATATTTTTCGAAACAATCTACTTTGAAGATCAGAATTCAGCTATGCGTTTCTTTTTTGGTCCAGTGTAGGTGTTTGCACGTATTTATGTGGCCACCATCTGGTCATATACCAACGGGTTCGTGGGTTCTTTTAAGTGCAGAGGGTTGTGTACTGTACACTAGGGGTTGTGACAGCACTGAAAGAGTCTGCACACAAAGTTGACTCCGAGGTTGTTACACCCGGTCACAGTAGGTCTCGATCCCGACACCTCAACCTCGCTGGATCACTAGCCTGGCGCCTTAGCCAGCTCGCCCACCGCGCGTTTTATCTGTCAGAATGGCCTGATAATTTTGATATTTTCATACGTGATGCAAATTATATATGAACATGTCTTACACGTTCTCATGTCTGTACACATTTGTATGAAATTTCACGGGTTATATTTTTCATATTTTGTAATGTAATCATTTGTGACGTCACGAACAACGGATGACGTCATATTGTATTTTTTTCATAATAAAGCATTCGACCGACAGCGAAAAATCAACACAAAATGCAAATATGCAAATATCGGAAAGTTGTCACACACCATCGTGTGGGTTATATTAAATATATTCCACTCACCCAGCATTCCTCCGATAATCATGCATGTCGGGATGAAGCCATTCGTGAACATCCTGGTAAGTTTTACATGCATCATGGTGGCGGCTGATAAAATTGGGAGACTCTGGAAAGGAAACAAATGAAATTGTGAGCATGTCAACAAAATATACTCTGTAGTAACATGACGTCACAGGCTTTGTAGCTCACCAGAGTTACCTGGAATATTTACGTCATTGCCCAGAGTATTTGTAATTAGGACTAATTTCGTCTAATACCGAACTCTAAATGATTCTACACAGGAGCTCTCACCGTGGGCTGCAGGGCGTTAATGCTGTCAGCGTATGCCTTAGCATTGGGTTAAGTTATTGACATTAGAGCACAGTTTTCGTGGTGACCAGAAAGATACCTTTTTCGAGTTATTGAGCTAACGTACTCGCTCCAGCCAAACAGGTAACCTGGGACTTTATTACCACTTATTTATCAGTTTGTGCAACTCTTTGGATGTCGGGCGGTGGGGTAGCCTAGTGGTTAAAGCGTTGGCTCGTCACGCCGAAGACCCGGGTTCGATTCCCCACATGGGCACAATGTGTTAAGCCCATTTCTGGTGTCCTCCGCCGTGATATTGCTGGAATATTGCTAAAAGTGGCGTAAAACTAAACTCAGTCAGTCAGTCAGTCTTTGGATGCCTTGATGTACATATGGTTACAAGTTCACGTTACATTGCGCGTGAAGTGCACCAGTCGATATACCAGTGACCAGGTACATCCTTAGATGTACAATATACAGATTCCCTAAGGCTGTATAAGTAAGCACACGTATGGGTTGTCAGGGCCTTTGCTGTTGCAACAAAGTTCACCATTGTTTATCGGATTGGAAGTACTGTGTGACAAAATGATTCATTTATCAGCTGCCTAAATGTGACCAACTGCCTAATATCTTAAATAACGCAATATCAAACAGACATGTTCCTTTAAAACATGACATATTCGACATGAAAAGTTAAATAGGGAGAATGACAATTGTGTCTAACCGTTTGAATCAAACACTGTTAAAGATGATAGGGATTTTATTTTCTAAGACAAACCAATCTGGTCTTGGGTTATTAGATTTGTGAATCCTTACTGGAGACTTGATAAACACCAGACACCCGAGGTGACATGTCATGGTAATGCCTCCAAGTCAGTAAATAATATATATCTATATATACCATACATACCGCGGTAGATGTAAAAGCAGCGATATTTGCGATGTGTATTGTTTATGACAGCAAGTTAGCTTTTGATATAGCAGAACAGAAGGAGATTTCCATAAATCTCTAGGGGCTTTACGTCACACTATCCTGGCTGTGTGACGTCGGCCTGTGACTGTTAGCTTTTGATATAGCAGAACAGAAGGAGATTTCCATAAATCCTTAGGGGTTTACGTCACACTATCCTGGCTGTGTGACGTCGGCCTGTGACTGTTAGCTTTTGATATAGCAGAACAGGAGATTTCCATAAATCACTAGGGGTTTACGTCACACTATCCTGGCTGTGTGACGTCGGCCTGTGACTGTTAGCTTTTGATATAGCAGAACAGAAGGAGATTTCCATAAATCTCTAGGGGGTTTACGTCACACCATCCTGGCTGTGTGACGTCGGCCTGTGACTGTTAGCTTTTGATATAGCAGAACAGAAGGAGATTTCCATAAATCTCTAGGGGGTTTACGTCACACTATCCTGGCTGTGTGACGTCGGCCTGTGACTGTTAGCTTTTGATATAGCAGAACAGGAGATTTCCATAAATCTCTAGGGGTTTACGTCACACTATCCTGGCTGTGTGACGTCGGCCTCGGCTTTTGATATAGCTTTCCATAAATCTCTAGTTTACGACACCATCCTGTTACGCTTTTGATATAGCAGAACAGGAGATTTCCATAAATCCCTAGGGGTTTACGTCACACTATCCTGGCTGTGTGACGTCGGCCAGTGACTGACATTGTAAGCAACGGACAACGCCGCAAGGATATGTCGCCATTGACAAAGTCAGTGAGTTCAGCGAGATCGACAAACAGCATGGGTAGTTGGGACCACTTTAAGTAAGGAATCACCATGGATCTGATTTCACCAAACCGTGACTACGTGATGGGTGGAGGCAGCAACACAAGTGAAATACACCAGCGGTAAATGAATTTATATCTTACACAATATAAAATAAGTCATCTTAACTGTATACTCCCGATGAACCTGCTTTGGCACAAGATGGAAAGTCCTTTCTCTGTTTTATTGACTCTTATAGACAGTAAAAATGACTTTGGAATATGATTGTCGATGCAAATGAATTTTTCAACATTCTGTTTAAGTGAGCTACGAACCTTGATTCCTTTGGCAACGACACTTACGCATTTTTTTGACGTTAGAATAATTCTCATCAACGCAAATTCCACTTAAGAGCATTTATCTTCAAGAAAACATCCTTATTTCCATATGGGGTATTTTCAATCAAATGGATAAAAGCTTTAGTTTGCTAATTTTACGTAATTTCTCTGAACTTTCAATGTGCATGGAAATTATAGAGCTGCGACGTCATCTAACGTGATTGACGTGGAAACGAAGGGGCCCTGAGGTGCAACTCGCGATTCATTTTGCAGAAAGTACGTGACATGTCATAAAATTGTAATTCATTAAGTTTTTTCAGGAGTTAAACATACATCGCGTCCCTGTCGAGTTGCTGATTAATCTTCTATTCTCGGCTGCTTTGCGAGGTTCTGGCTCTCCTTTGACTTCATATACATTTCAGAATAATAATGGATGTAAAAACCCACAACGGCTTGACCGGCAGGAAATACAAACACAATGAATAAGTTGATGAAGAGAGGAATATTGTTCTAGCTCTTTAACGTGCAAGTTTGTTAAGTTTTAGTTTTGTTATAATGCATTATGTTTATTTAATTTGACAGATATATCCAGTTTTTATATGTTTTGGAATAATTATTATCTGTTGATCTCAAAGTGGATTTTGACTCGTTGCCAACATACTAAATCGTTAGATTGATATGTTTGTCTTCGGCTGGGTAAAGTTATCTTTTGTACTTTGTAAAATGTAAAATCAATATATTCCACACATATTTCTTGAATAAGATCTTACAAACAAAACTGTTTCAATCCTTTGTTTTAACCAAAGTCGACAAATGTTATTTATGTCATATGATGTCTTTTAGCGGCGTGTAGAAGTTGTTATCGGAAAGAATGAAGAAGCTTTAATCCATAAATTATCTTGGTCAAATGTTATTTAGCCCTGATTAAGTGAGTGGCTATGATTGTTCGTATGAGATGCTTCTTGTGTGTGATGCTTCGTGTACGTGGTATTTCTTGCATGGGATGCTTCTTGTGTGTGATGCTTCGTGTACGTGGTATTTCTTGCATGGAATGCTTCTTGTGTGTGATGCTTCGTGTACGTGGTATTTCTTGCATGGAATGCTTCTTGTGTGTGATGCTTCGTGTACGTGGTATTTCTTGCATGGAATGCTTCTTGTACGTGATGCTTCGTGTACGTGGTATTTCTTGCATGGAATGCTTCTTGTATGTGATGCTTCGTGTACGTGGTATTTCTTGCATGGAATGCTTCTTGTACGTGATGCTTCGTGTACGTGGTATTTCTTGCATGGAATGCTTCTTGTACGTGATGCTTCGTGCACGTGGTATTTCTTGCATGGAATGCTTCTTGTACGTGATGCTTCGTGTACGTGGTATTTCTTGCATGGAATGCTTCTTGTGTGTGATGCTTCGTGCACGTGGTATTTCTTGCATGGAATGCTTCTTGTACGTGATGCTTCGTGCACGTGGTATTTCTTGCATGGAATGCTTCTTGTACGTGATGCTTCGTGTACGTGGTATTTCTTGCATGGAATGCTTCTTGTACGTGATGCTTCGTGTACGTGGTATTTCCTGCATGGAATGCTTCTTGTGTGTGATGCTTCGTGTACGTGGTATTTCTGCATGGAATGCTTCTTGTGCGTGATGCTTCGTGTACGTGGTATTTCTTGCATGGAATGCTTCTTGTGTGTGATGCTTCGTGTACGTGGTATTTCTTGCATGGAATGCTTCTTGTACGTGATGCTTCGTGTACGTGGTATTTCTTGCATGGAATGCTTCTTGTGTGTGATGCTTCGTGTACGTGGTATTTCTTGCATGGGATGCTTCTTGTGTGTGATGCTTCGTGCGTGGTATTTCTTGCATGGAATGCTTCTTGTACGTGATGCTTCGTGTACGTGGTATTTCTTGCATGGAATGCTTCTTGTACGTGATGCTTCGTGTACGTGGTATTTCTTGCATGGAATGCTTCTTGTGCGTGATGCTTCGTGCACGTGGTATTTCTTGCATGGAATGCTTCTTGTACGTGATGCTTCGTGTACGTGGTATTTTTGCATGGAATGCTTCTTGTGCGTGATGCTTCGTGTACGTGGTATTTCTTGCATGGAATGCTTCTTGTGTGTGATGCTTCGTGTACGTGGTATTTCTTGCATGGAATGCTTCTTGTACGTGATGCTTCGTGTACGTGGTATTTCTTGCATGGAATGCTTCTTGTGTGTGATGCTTCGTGTACGTGGTATTTCTTGCATGGAATGCTTCTTGTGTGTGATGCTTCGTGTACGTGGTATTTCTTGCATGGAATGCTTCTTGTGTGTGATGCTTCGTGTGCGTGGTATTTCTTGCATGGAATGCTTCTTGTGTGTGATGCTTCGTGTGCGTGGTATTTCTTGCATGGAATGCTTCTTGTATGTGATGCTTCGTGTACGTGGTATAGCTTGCATGGAATGCTTCTTGTGTGTGATGCTTCGTGTGCGTGGTATTTCTTGCATGGAATGCTTCTTGTGTGTGATGCTTCGTGTGTCTGTCTGTCTGAGGCTTCTTGCCTTTGATGTCTCTTGTATGTGATGTTTCTTCAGCATATTCAAAGCTGACGTGTTCTCTATCAGTATCCACACTTAGACCGTTTCTGCTACGATTCAGTGATGGTCATACACAAGGGCAAACCATGTTGTTTCCATTTACTAGAAACAGTATGGCCAAGCCAATACCACTGCCACTTTAACATATAATCAGCGTTCATGATCCAGCGTTAAGTACCACATATAACTTTTTG